ATAATTTGAGTATCAAAATTTAAATATAGCAGAACTCCATTTATCTGCACTCCATTTATACAGAACAAGTATACTCAGTTTCAAATATCCGAATTTATAATTGAACTTCTATTATTGAAACTCTGATGCCGTAGTTCGGATAACAGGAGTTTGACGTGCTCGACTCCAATTTTCTGAATGCTAGCTCCTTTATTATCAGTAATAAATTCTGGTAAGGAAGAGAGTTAGTGAACGTCTATTATTCGAATCATTCAATTATCGGACTTATAAATGTCTTCTCCCCTATTCAAATAAACGGAGTTCTACTAACGGAGTAAACAGATATGGCAGTTTGATTAGTCAATAAAAGAATTATATATAGATCCTATACAGAATATTTGTATCCACTTACCAATGCAATTATTAATCCATGGACAGTGATGATCGAATCGTGCTACACAACGATCACATGTAGCACAATGTTTAGATCTTATAGGTCTTCGAACTAAACAACTACTGCAGAACCATTGCGGTTCAAAACCACCTGATTCGGCCAATTCAATTATCGTCTATAAACAAAGATACACGTATATTTATCGTCCGTATATACGTGAAATATTTTACCGTAATAATTCCGGGATCACCCCGCCAAGACTGCAAAAAGCATATCCAGAGAGGAACAGATCCACCGACGAATAACAACCATAAATACCATGCTGCATGAATACCTAGCCAGAAAATCCATGTAATATATATCCACATCTGAAAAAAGAAAAAGAAAAATCAGCATAGTTTAAAATTGACTGTATAAATCGGCAAGCAGTGAATCAATAAATGTATTGACGTAATTATTCATAAAAAATTATATAATTAATATTTTAAATGTTATATATTTACTTCATTATGTACTACTAATATTTATATTTATATTAATTTATATTAATATTTATATTTATTTTATCTATTGTATTACTGCAATATTTAGGTAGTATTAAGTTAACACTGGTTTTGAGCTTATCACCTTATCGACAATATTATTTATCACGTTTAGCAGCTTATCGGAAATCGCTTATAAATGTTTTCGGTTATCTAGAGAATACGTCTTGGAATTATACTCACCTTGGTTGCAAAATAAATCGACACTGGCAAAACGTGAAACAGCCGTTCGTCGAACACGAAATGGTTCATTAAATACACCGCTACATAAAGGGTGATAAAGGCACCTAGTTTTAATAAATAATCCCATCCACTTTGTAGAACCATACCAATTACATAAAATGCTATAAGCGGTGTAGTGACCATACAATACCAACGAATTTTCTGTAAGAAAAACATATGATAATGAAACAATCATATAGAAGAATTGGAAAAGTCTAGCTTAATAAAGTTCAAATTCTGTCTTAAAAAATTAACTTGAAAAAATACACAAATATAACATACTATGACACATTTATGTATCATCGTTACCTTATCTCTACACCATGTTCTCGTACGACCTTGTTTTTCTTTAATCTCATCCCTGATTTTATGTTCTAACCATGTGGCGCTGATATGCGGACCTAGTAGTGTCATTGGCGTCTCATTTCGGAAATTGGGTAGATCTAACGAGGCTCCGTGTTGTACCAAGATGGATATCGCCGTGTTGTTTTTTGCTATAATGGCCCAATGCAGGGCGGTATTACCATACAAATTATCGGTAAGTGAGTGCGATGCACCTAGAGTCAACAACAGTCGCGTTGGATCTAGACTGTAAAAAGAAAGACTTTAAAGTAACCAACATAACATTATTCTATTTGAAAAAACGAGTAACTTGTAGAATAATAATTCGGTACTCTGTGTACCTATTAACTTTATAGGCACTCCACATAAGGGGCGTCATGGCACTTCTATCTGGCATATTTGGATTCACGCCTTTCGCTACCAAATAAGCCACTATAGCCGTATAACCAAATTGTGCCGCCAGATGTATACAGGAGAAGCCTTCACAATCTCTTAAGGTTGGATCAGCACCTGCCCTCATTAGAATCACAACCGCGGAGAGATGACCCTGTCTAGAAAGACAATTGAAAAATAAATCTCTTTTTAAGTTTTTTTTTAAAGCTGTCTTATAAATTCACATTAAAAAAATGGAGGGTATATGTAAAATTGTAGGAAGCTTAATTTGCATTGCATAAAATTATTTATTTCTAAAAAATTTCAATTATTCACATTAAAACTGTATATCACATTCACAATTTAAATAATATTAATATTTGTTAAAGTACTGACCTCGTGGCCCAATGCAATGGTGTGGAGGCTAAATCACCACCAATAGCATCGACTACGGCTCCCTTTGCAATGAGATATTTGACAATATCTTTGCGATTATTTATAGCAGCCCAATGTAATAACGTTACATTTTCCGAATCTGGTTGATTCACGTCAGTACCAGCTTCTATCAACTGTGTCACTCGCTCCAACGCCCCATACTGCAAATATATCTCATTCAATCATCTTAAATCCATATACTTTGATAATATGGATTGCGCATTTATGAATTTATAATTAATTTGTAAACTTACAAGTTATATAATGTATAATTTTTTCATTTTTTAAAAATATAAATTGAAAAAATAAATACGTTCTTCAATTCGATCACTAACATTACCTGCGTGGCTCTGACAATATCGAAAGAGCTGCAATCTTGAGTAGCAGGTCGCACTGGTTCCTGATGAAGGCTGCTGGGGTCATCGGGTTCACCGGTGCCATCGCCCTGGCAGGCAGTCTGCATCTGCAGCGCGTACATGCTATAACCGACAAAAGAACATATATTAAGTTGAATAAAGTTATTAAACAACTTTGAAGTAATTTATATTTATGCAAATAACCACTGCTAGCATTAGTGTATATTTTCTTATCTAAAAATCAGTTTTTCAATCTGTCTTTTAAAAAATTTCAGACTGGTTCAAATAAAAACAATTTAATAAAAAAATAACTGAATAGAAAACAAAATAACAATAAATAAATAAAAAAAAAGTTACAGTACCAATTTAATAATGTAAATATTGAAATTTTGTTTTAGATTGTAATTTCAATGATATGAATTTCTAGTATGACAACAACTACTTAATCACAGTTAATATTAAACACTAATGCAATTCATGCAATTTATTATTCATCTTACAACTGGACAAAAAACCAAAGTTTTCTATCTGGAACTATGTCAAAAAATCGACATCCTTGAGTCTTAAATAAATGCTTGTTTCTCCTTGATGCATGAATGTACTATTTTATATGCATGTCATAGACTAATGTTATATGTGCTACACTATATATAAATCACATTAAATCATGTATATGTAAAGGCTATTATAGGTCATACTCTTTCCAACTATACATTGTCTATATTCAGAATACCTAAGAGAACACATTGAATCTGTTTATTTAGTTTTGCTTTTAAATTATGTATGAAGTGAATACATGCATATAAAATATATGTATACATATTTACACATTTGAAAAAAAGAAGAAAAGACTTTTATATAAGTGTTTCTTTTAGCTGTTACATAAGTTTTTACACTTAAGGCAAACTAGCAGTAAGAGAAGAAAAAAAGAAAAATATATATATGTATATATACGTTAGTTTAATATATTACATCTAAAGAAAATGCTAGCTTAGTTTGTAATGAGAATTAATGAAAAAAATAAAAATATCTGTAATTTAGAATCAAGATCAGATAATATATACGTTATACACTTTTTATCATAAATTTATTTCTAATGTTATGTCCACATCTTATGAAATCCTGCATGTAAAACAGATATTCATTAAATATATATCAATTATAGCAGCTTCTAAAAAATTATTTTTTTGGATTTAATTAATTCTTTGATGGCTTCATAGAAGCATACAGAATGTAGTTAATTTATTTTCTTGAATTATAATGTAAAGACAGATTCTACATAACAACTTTATTAATCTTGCAACACTTGCAATCTTGTTCCATATCTTGATTATAAAATCGAAGTAATAGTAGTAGTAGTATATTTTTATTTATTATGATACCGCATCACGAACTTTTTGCTATTTCAGATTGTAAGATAATTTAAATAGATAACTATAAAAGATAAACAAGAAGCGATAGCTATTTTTCCACGTAAACGAATCAGAATTCTAAACGCAAGATATATACATCCCTTTCTTTTTCAGCGTATTTTGACGTATTTTGGAGCTCGACGCGACGCGACTCACCCTCGGAACTCGCCCTCGACACGTTCTTGTTCCCCCAACAAATGGAGGGAGACGGAAAAACCGAAAAGCACTTGCCATACATTCGCAGATCGATCTTCGGAACGCGCACAAAAATAAATCGCTTTACATATACATAGGTATGTACATACAAAGAGAAACAGCCCCGGCTCACCTCGATCACGGTGTTTATGCGTCGTTAATGCGTAATGCGCATAGTAACGGACGACGATGATCACAGTTGCGTTCTCGATCGAACCCCTGGTAATCCGAAGCAAATAGTTAGTTTTAAGGGACGAATGGTATCGTATTGTATCAAGAAGTGGGACACCGGCATATCACACGAGCGCACACATTCATGTATGATGGCTGAGCCGTCGGGGTTGATCTTCGGTACGACACCCTCGATCACGTGACTACTCCTTTTTCAGCTCGCCGTTGGACTCGTCCTCTTCCGCGATTTTGGCGAATGTTGCGAGTACGAGTATCGAACAACAAGTATCGAGCGATCACTACTACTTCCCGTTTCAGATCGCCATGGCGATCACTCGCTCCAGCATCGTCGTCGTATTTTTTACGTATACAACGATCAGCGACGATGAGCCGGATGGACAGAGCGATATCGACCAAACGCAAATTGACGCAAATAACGTAGTGCCGTTCGCGGCTTGTTCGGTCGGCAAGGTCGGCAATCATTCGACAAGAACCGGCAGATGAACTCTGAAGAATATCAGTAGAGACATCTATGAGTAGATAATTATAAAATAATGTCATAATAAATAGACTGACCACCGACGAGATATTATTAGAGATCGTCAACCCTAGGCAAATTTTCGGCGGTATAAAAAGGGCCTGGATGGCCAGGAGGTAATTGAAGAACGCTGACATTATCGACAATTGATATAAATTTGCTATTATTAACATAAATATTTGGCTTATGTATTATTAAATTCATGATTTTTTTATTATATAAATGTTCCATAAATAAATGTGCATACTTGTAAAATTATAATATCCTATATTGCAGAAAAATTATAATTTTTCTCTGCAGTTATCATCTCTGTTGATAATGAAACTTTGACGATAACGCTGAAATTACAATTTCAAAGAAAAATCGAGTATTATTGAGTTTTAAATGCATAAATATATCTACTAAACTAATAAATCATAAAATTAATACAATATTATCAGTTTTTAATTCTTAATCACTTCAATATTCTGAAGGACGTGAATTCCCGTAAGAATGTCGGTCTTTAATAGTATCTTGTCGGTGGACTGATCAATGATCAACGACGTCAGATCCAAACCATATTATCGTTGGTCATCGTTGCACGTGCCAATCAGTGCCAACGTGCACGCCTTGTTTGAAATTCGTGGCGGTGAGAAGTGAGGTTAAAAATCTATTAATTTGGGACACCAGGAAATTCGAAGGGACTATCATGGAAATCGAGTCTACGAAGAAGAATCGTCTTAAAACGAAATCGAAAGATAAAGCTATGAGCACGAATAAGGACCATAAGGATGAAACTCAGATACAAATACGTTTTATAACTAAGCAGCAGCAGTAAGAATTTATTCTTTCCTTTTATTGTTAGACATTTGTTTACAGTTTATTATTTTATTTATTATTTTTCATTTTAACAATTCTAGATTTGCGGTACCAGATTATCCCTTATCGGTCCATAGCTCGATAATCACCGACGAATTAAACACCCTGATAAATGAACTTCTGAGGGGTAAGGATGAGTGAAAGAACCTAATGAAAGTCGCTTTGATATGTTGTATTATCTGTTATTATTTCCTTATTTCCTTCTAAACTATTTGCAATTGTTAAATCTAACATGTTATGCTAATATTAAAGTATGCTTCCTTGTGCATATATATATTTTTTTTTATTTTTAAATTAATTTCACGAATTATATAGAATTATCTAATTAATTATGAAAAAACTTTCTGATCATTTTAAAGATGAAATTGATTTTTTACAGAGTCGAATAATATCCAAGAGCAAGTGGAGTTTGATTTCCTGATATGTTCCCAGTTTTTACGTAACTCTTTGATAGAACACATCACTGATAGAGAAATTTCTACAGAGGATGTGATAGATGTAGAGTATGTGGAAAAGCATCCTTCACCAGAGCCAAAGGATTGCCTAATACATGATGATTGGGTATCAGCTGTTGCTGTTTGTGGAAAATGGTTGGTACCTAATAATTGAGACACAAAAATAATTTCAAAATATATTTCATGTCTAATTGGAGTATTAATCTCGAATGATTTTATTTAGGATCCTAACTGGTTCTTATGACAATATGTTACACATTTGGACATTGAAAGGCAAGCATCATCTTGTGATTCCTGGACATGTATCTCCTGTCAGGGCAGTAGCTTGGATATCTTTCAATGACGATAATGCTTCCTTCGTTAGGTAGTTTACCAAAAAATAGCATCAATTTTATATGTTTTGAATATTGTATTATATGTATAGTAAATTTCTTTGCTCATACATAGTAAAGTAGGCTCATCAAAATCAATGAAAAAGTTCCATGATATATAAGTGAATTTTCAAGCATAACGAATGATTGTTAACAATTTACACATATATATAGCGCATCAATGGACCAGACATGTATGATATGGAATTGGGATATAACGAAGAATTCTGTGGAATGTGTATATATCTGCAAAGGACACAGAAGAAGTATTGAAGCAGTCAGCATTAATTACGATAAAACGTTAATGGCAACTGGTGCTTGGGATAATATGCTATATATTTGGTCAACATGTAAGTACTAGCATAAGAAATTGAAGACTATTTTTTTTCAAATTTTAATATATATATTCTTGAAAAATTAAAATTATAGTGTCTTATAACTTTCTTATGATTCTTTTATTTTAAAAATATGATCTTAATAAAAAAAGAAAAATTAGAAATTAGAATATATAAATACGGATATAATTTGATAGCAAAAGGTAAAATATTAATTATCAAAACAAATCTTTCTTGCTTTCTTAAGCTACACATGAGGATGACAATGATGGAGAATCCGCGTCGAAAAGAGCAAGATCGGAATATGCGAATAAAACGAAGGTATGCAGATTAAATTATTTAAATTATTAAGTTCATCTTACTCTTGATCCAATTGCTTGATAAACATTCTGATATTGTCAATCATACTACTAAAATGTTTTCAATGATTCAAATTCTTATTAGTAAACGATTAATATTAAAAAATTTATGAAGAAAAGTATTGATTGCATTTATTTTACACGTAGACGCCGAAATGCGCGATGAAAGGACACAAGCAAGCGATCAGCGGGATCGTGTGGTCTGACAAAACGGAAATCATTACAGGTTCATGGGATCACACTATAAAAACTTGGGATACCGAATTAAACGGCATTAAACAAGAAATATATGGTGACAAGTGTTTCTTTGACATTGATTATTCACCATTGTCGCGTGTCGTGATAGCAGGATCAGCCGACCAACATGTGAGACTGTATGATCCGAGGTCTACAGGTATTTTTTGTTGGTTTTTTTCAAATTTTTCAATCTTTGAAAATCAAAATTATGAATTTTATTGATAAAATTGAATATTAAATTTTAGATTAGAAAAATTTCTCATTGAATTTCCGATTTTCTTAATTTCCTATTAAAATTTGATGTGCATTGTGCATTAGCATAAGCAAATATATCAAACTTATTTATTTACTTACGGTTATGTATTTCAGAAGGTACAATTGTGAAAGCTAGATTTACTTCTCACACGCAATGGGTGACGTCAGTACGCTGGTCGACCATAGACGAACATCTATTTATTTCAGGAGCATATGACAATATCGTTAAGCTCTGGGACACGAGAAGGTTGTTTGCAGATTAAAATTATTAGCAAACTATTCTCAAACTAGTTAAAAGAATTTTTGTGAAATTTCATTCGGTTACAAACCTGTTACCTTAGTATTAAATTATAGATTTATTACTCGATGAAATTATCTTCAAATTAAAATTACAATCGGATCCAGATATTTATTGCAATAAATTGAAAATCCAAAAGATGATAATGTTATTCAATATAAAGTTTATTAAAATTAACTTTTCTTTTTTAGCCCCAAGGCACCGCTGTTTGATCTCCTAGGACACGAAGACAAAGTCCTCAGCTGCGATTGGTCCAATCCTAAATTGATAATGTCCGGTGGTGCAGACAATACACTGAGGATATTCAAATCCAACCACGTAGAACGTTAATTACAAATATGTGGATTACAAAAATAGAATTTGTTATAAAATATTGTTCGCTAAACAAAACAATCTTTTCCCGTTTCATAAGATAAATTTGTCATATTGATAGTTAATAAAATTTAAATTAGAAAATTAACAAAAATAGATTATTATGCAAAAGGCGTCTCAATCACTTTTTGCGATGACATGATAATTTTTATCCTTCACGTTTGAGAATCTTTTTTTTTACACTAAATGATGTGTTTTTTTATATCATTGGAAATAAAAATATATTGACGAGTCCATCGAGAAATCGACTTTATATTCAATCATATAATATCGTATGTGAAGAATGTAAAGCCCTGATCGATGGTACGAATATAACAATCCATTTCTTGTAATAATAAAAAAAATAAAATTGGAAATATTAACAGATTAATACTAAAGAATCTTAACGAAAACGTGCTTCTTTTTTTCTCGAATTAATAGCTGCTCTCTCCTTTCCTCTCTTCCTGAATTTCTTTCTTCAAGAATTATGTACGCCAGATGGGTGAAGTAAGAGTCGTGTCGCTCGGCATAAATCCCCAAAAACAGATCGTTTATTGATCAAAAATAAGGGATGATAATCGTGACGAATCCGGGAACTCGCTCTTCCCGCGCTTCGCGAATTATTTAATTATTTACCAAACCGTTTCTTCATTACTCGTAAGTAATTCTAAAAAGACCACCGATTCAAGTGCACGCCCCTATAGTAGAGACATACATAGGGTGTTATGCGGTAATAATACAGGAGCAGCGGAGAGCTTGCATGCTCTCCGCAATAGCGCACGCACATTTTTTCCCTCTTTTTTTCTTTCTGTACAACTGTGTGTTTTTTGTATGTGTGTATGTCTGTATGTATTCCTTATAAGCGTGTGCTGTGTGTAAAATAGGTAGATGACGGTTCTTCGAGAGTACACGTTATCTTCTTTTTTTTCTTCTTCGAAGTTACGCACACACCTACGTACACACATGCGCACACTCTCTTCCTCTCATTCGTACACTTTCGTCGGCCCCTCTCTTTTCTATCTCTCTCTCTTTCTCGTCGCACGATTGTTTTTTTAATCCTTTTTCCTTTTTTTTTCTTTTTTTTTTCCATTTGTGTTTGCCTGTTTATTTCTCGAAGATCCTATCTAAAAAAACCCCCACATTACTATCTTTCTCTCGTTTTCTCTCTCTCTCTCTCTCTCTCTCTCTCGTTCTCTCTCTCGCTCTCTCACACACAAAGACTAGCGTTTTTTTTAAACGATCCAAAATAAACTAAGGGCACTTTTTAGTGGCTTATGCCCCTTGTGTCGTCAACGTCACGTGTGTTGCGTTCCTTATTTTTTTTTCTTTACGTTCCTCTTATCTCGAGCTTTTTCATTCATTTTTTTTTAATTTTTTAAATTTACTTTATTCATGAAAAATCTAATTCTGACTTGTTTCTTGTGTTAAACTTTGTTTTATTACAGCACCTATTCGACTTCCTAAGAGTCTCCCTAGATCTCTTAACTAACTATGACACAACTTGCCTTAACGTCTAAAAATTTTTTCTTCACATTACATACTAAACGCCTTCTTTTCACCTCTGCCTTAAAAAGTACTCTCGAAATTCTACAAATTGATCCTCGCGCGCGGATTTAAAAAGAGACCTCAGCGTCCGACGACATCGTTCCCCCTTGTTTCTTTTGCTCTTATCTCTTTCTCTCTCGTTGATCTTGGAAAGATAAGCAATACGCACGGGGTACGTGTCTCTCGTTCCGTCGTAGAATTATATTACAAATTCCGCTTCCTTCGTCGGTTCGTTTGCCGTCGAACACGAAGGACGAGCAGAGTACAAATGCAAAAAGAAAGGAGGGACGGGGAGGGCACGGAGATGCATCGGAGGAGGAAGAGAAGGAAGTGGTGGAGGAAGAAACTCAAGATGTCTCGAGTAATTACTGCTAAGTCGCTTAACAAACACGTGTAAAACAATGACTTAAAAACTTGGAAAGCTAAGGACTGTACAAGTCGAAGTACAAGACGATGATCTAGTGTCACCTCGGACCTCGTTTTATCGCTTTATCGCTAATTCACTCTTTCTCTCTTTCTCTCTATCTCATACATGCTAACATACATATTCGTTTTCATTCTCTTAAGCCGATTTCGACTAACGTTATTTTATTCTTAAAAACATTCTATATTTTTTACGCCTCGCTTCTCGTTCAATCAGTTTTTCGCTCCCTCTCTCGTCTCCTTTTCTACAATCAGCCTATCAACTACAATACGCCTAATCTAAAGAGTGTCTACGCGCGAAAAACTCTAGAGAAAGCTTTACGGAAAGCAGCATTGTCTGCAACGGCAAGAACCGTTTTCCTGCCTGAAACTTGTTGGCGGCCGGGCTGCGAAGGCTCGACAGTTCTCGCGGTGAAAAGTTCTTAGTTGTTAGAGGCAAAGAATCGTATAGGAAAAAAAATTCGTATGATTTTTCGCATCTAACGTCCACGTGGGAGGATCCCTCGAATGACCAGAATCGGAAGGAATTGTTTCCGTGCGTTTCCAGTTCTCGGATTGAAGGTAATTTTCTACCGCGGAAACCCTACAAGCCTCCGGTACCTTATCGAGTTCAAAGAGCCCACATCCGGCCAGCCCACGCACCTGACCCGCGGTGCGCAGCAAGCAAATAGTTCCTTACTATTTATACAATTATACAAGTAGTTCATACATATATATATATATATATATATACATATATGTAGAATAATATATATATATATATTTATCAATTAATATGAATAGCCAGTCAGTCTTGACGGGTGCGAGGTGCATAGGCTGAACGGTGCCCCACGCCCGTGCCCCCCGTGCCCGCGACAACACACAGAGGGAGGATAGGGGACACGGGGGATGAGAGGCATATTCGTATCCTAACTACTATATAATTAAACTATTGTTCTACCTATCTACGTCTATTTATAAACTTAGCCGCTTCTTAATCCGATAAAAGATCGCCCTTTTCCTATTATCTCCTAATCCGAGCGAGTCCTCGCTCACTCGTTGCTTATCCTACGGTTTTTTTTAAATCATCATCTTCAACTCTACCTACATGCGAAAAAACATCGCCGCAAGAAAAAAAGACGCGTCTCTGCACGTTTTCTGTACATAATAACTATACTCTCGCTCGCGATCGCTCTTTTTCTCCTTTCCTCTCTATCTTTCTTTCTTTTCCGGCTACCCTTCTTTTCCGGTCACTCTTGTGGAATCTAGCTTTTTCCGTATCCGGGGATGCTAGACACACGATAGATTATATTCGCCATCTTGATCCCCCTCTTCTTTCCCTTCTTCGACCCCTGAACCAGTCGGCGCAACTATTATTGCTGCTCTGTTTACTCGCTTTTCTCCTTTTTTCCCTTTTCTTCGTTTGGTCAGTCACGATAATTACTTTAGTTACTTTTTTTTAGTGTATACAAGAGTCTCTATTTAGTAAAATTCTCAAAATTTACTATTAAAATCACATGTGGATTTTTTTGTCAGTCAAGTGGTGACAATCTCGCCTTGTGCAACAAATACACAATACGCACTCGCTAATTAGCGCTCCTCTCTCTCTCTCTCTCTCTCTCTCTCTCTCGCATTTTCCTCTCAGCTTTCCATCTTTCATTCACTTTCTTTCTCTCATTCTTTCGTACACGACTCTTTTCATGCAAAAATCATTCTTCCTTTCATACTTACCCTCTGTGTTCTTTTTATTTACTTTTTACCTTAATGCATGGACTCAAATCGAGTAATAAAGTCTGTCTCTTAAAAAATAGCTCGTACTCCGCCTTTCTACTTTTTTACCTTCGGCTTTTTTTTTTATTTTTTCGTCAATTTATCTCTCTCGTTCTCTCTATTTCTCACTCTCACTCTCTCGTCATCGTGATGTACCAAAATAAACTAAATATATTATTTACTTCAAGTCTCAACAGTGTAAAAATCTTTCATACGTTTAGATGACGTCAATAATAGTAAATCGTTAATTATAATAATACAGCGCCATTATTGTAATATTATAATAATAACTACGCGACTCGCCCCTCTCTCTCTCTCTCTCGTTCTTTCTCTCTCTTTCTCTCTTCACTAAAACTCTATCTAACTACCTGCTCACTGTCGTTTTTTCGTATCAGTTTCTCGTGTGTCGCGCGAGTAGTCCGCGGTTCTCGCATATTTTTGGTAAAAAGCTTTCCTACACACTCTCTCTCCCTTCCTATTGCTCCTTCATTCAATTCTCAACTATCAATCCTAAGTCGGACAACGCGAAACTCCGCTGGATGTACGAATAATGATAATAGTAATGGTAATGATAGTGATGGTGACAATAGTGATGATGATGGTGATGGTGATAATTGATATAGGAGAAGAGACATCCAGAAGAAGGGGAAGAGATGGAGATCTCGTTGGACGCAGGTTGTAACGTGAAGAATAATCACGATTGAAACGGACTCAACACGAAGGTATTTAATCAAATCAAGTAATATAAGCGTTTACTTTTGCAAATTTCCAAATTCTTGAGAAAATATACTCATTTCGGTAAATACAATTATTCGCGCGGTCGCAAAAGCGCTCAGGAAGTTCAATCTTCCTCGATCGAATTTTCCATTTGATCATTTAGACAAATACTTATTTTATTTACAGCCATCAATTTCGACATCTCGAAAGATGACAGAGTGTCGTCTCGATTACTCTCCCCTCGATCTGTCTGTACACGCGTGTATCTGTCGTGCATACATGTGATATACGGTGTAAATCGATGCATCTATGCGTTTTTACTTTTCATTTTTCTGTTCTTTCTCGACAGTACATATACATATAACGGTTCTTCCGATAAAATAAATTAATTTACATTCTAGTTTCTCATCATGTAACAAACCTACTTTTTTCCATTTTTTTAAATCTCTTTCTCTCTATTTCAAACACATTTTCAATCATCCTTCCTTTCTCTCTCTCTCTCTCTCTCTCTCTCACTCTCTCTCCCTCTCTCTTTCTCTCACATTTTTGTTACTTAACCTGTCGCGATTTGATTTTCCTAGATTTTCTCTTTCTTTTTAATATTATTATTATTATGTTACGGACTGTCTTTGTGCTGTGAGTGTCTATTTCTTTTTCTTTTAATACAGTCCGACAAAAATCCAATTCAATAATGTTATCACGCGTCACAAAATCTATTAAATTGACAACGAAAACAAATGTATAGAGATTTAATACAAAAACAATTACAGATATATTAATTAGAAAATTAAGATTTGGCTTCGCATCAAATTTAACGATGCGTAAAAATATATTATAACGATTTTCTCCTGCATATTTATATAAATATCTCTCTCTCTCTCTCTCTCTCTCCTCCTCCTCTCCCTCTCTCTCTCTCTCTCCCCCTCTCCCTTTCTTTTATTTAACGGATCTGTGTGAAAAGGCACGATTCTAAAAAAAATATCTGTATTCACTGTACAATTAAAAATGTATATCGATCCGTTTTTAACTTGTAATTATCGTAAATACAACGCTCTAAAAAGTACTATTTCATTTTTTTCTTTCCGTATTTCGTACAATAATTATACGTAAATTCTGAAAATTGCATTTTCCCCTTGCTCTCGTTTTAGAAACAAATTTTAAATGTCATATTTTTCTTTTCCCGGTTTGTTTCCGAAATTTAATCCACAATAAAAAAAATTTCATTGTCATTAAAAAAAAGAAACAAGGAAACGCACACAATAGAGATGCATGATGCCGCCTAGAAAAGTTAATGTACTTCCAGAATTCTTGATTAAAAAAATGTCTCCGCGTAGTGATGCGCGCATATAATCAGTTTTTGGAATGTTTTTGAATATAAAAACGGAAAATGAAAAAAGGAAAAAACTCGAAGATACGTGAACTTGATGAGGGTGCGGTGGTGTCCGTTTTGTGCATTTTACGTAATCTACATGCGAGAGAACGGATAAGGTGAAGTGTTATCGCGAAAAATAAATTGTATTCACACGTGTATGTTTCTACACCGTAGACAATCTTCGCGTGTGTTTCAAATAAATATCTCCTTTTTTGAATCTCTGAATTGCTTCTCTCAATATCATCCTGGAAGTAGTGCATCCTCTCTTCTCTCTTTCACACATTTTCCCTCTCTCTCACTCTCACTTCCTTCTTTTCTCCCTCCCCCTTCTCTCTCTCTCTTCCCCTCCCTCTCTTTCGTTCTTGCTGTATATTTTTTTTACTATTATTTACTATTATTTTCTCGGGAAAAATTCTTCTTTGTATATTTCTGAGCATTACTTTTTCTTCTTCTTTCCTTGTTTTTCTTTATAGTTAATACATCCACACGTACATTCTCTCTCTTTCGCTCTCACTCATTAAAATACTTATCCATACTGTCGAGCTCTCGAGATTAGATTCGATTAGCTTTTGTCATCTGTCCGTAGTAAACATAATACCTAAAGTTACATCATGGAAGCCTATTAGCTTGACACTAAATTGTTCTTCGTAAATAACTTGTTTTTTTCGTTACTGTCGCATATTATGTCTCTTTCTCTCTTTCTCTCTCTCTCTCTGTCTCTCTCTAGTATGTGTGTACATGAGAGTGTACGTGTTACCATCAGCTTTAATGGAACCATAACTAGTATGGAAGCACGTGCCATTTCACGCGGACGACACGTAATCGTTCTCGTACTCATCTTCCTGTATTTCTTTCAATTATAATCTTTCTCTCGCTCGCTCATTTCCTCTCGCTCTTACACATTCTCTCAACATTCACTCTGCCTACTCGTTGCAAAATATCATCTACTTTCCTCTATTTACTGTTGGATAAAACGTATAAAAACGCTGGCAAGTCAATTTATCGTGAGGAAGAATCTTATTCGTTACGTAATGTAGTTTTTGTTTCAAATTCTATTCTTCTTAGTGTAATTCGCTTTCGTATGTTGCCTTCCTTCTGCGCATATCTTCATAAGTCAATCAGTAAGCCTTTTCTAATTCACGTAACCCTTAGCGCGATCGTACATCTGTAACCGAAAGATCCCTTTATTGTCCATTTGTCGTCTTACTGTGAGTTAAGGAATTTGTAGTTCGCCACAGTACTGTATTGTAAGGCATAAGAAGAAAAAAGAATTCTGACCTATTATAAACCGTGGCCTACTTAGGCTGTTGAGCCTGGTACTGCTGATAGGAGTCGTCGGGGGACGCTGCGTTACTCGTCTGCTCCGACTCGCCCAGTGGCATAGTGTGAATAATGCTAGGAGCGGGATAAGTTGTGTAAGGATAGGGATGCGGGCTCGCTATGTACTGAAAAGAAGAAATAAAACGACAGTTAGTTATCATTCGTCATTATTGGCGCAAACCATTTCGTTCTAGAAATACAAATGTCCAAAAAACTTCTCAACTTCTGGAGTCTCTTCATTAACTCCAAACAATTTTTGCATCTTTAACATATTCTAAATATCGGAATATTTAAAACATTCTGAAGCGTCAAAATCATTCTATATATTGTAGATTAGAATTTTTTTATTTTGTTATAAATAATTTAGATGTCAATTTTTGAGATGTCCTTCGGAGATTTGTGTCAAGCTGTTATAAAATCGAAAAAAAAAGAACTTACGGAACCAGTGCCAAGATGCAAGGTAGACATTTGTGTGGTAAGCTGAGGAATCATACTGTATTGTGGATTACTAGGATCAGCCGATGGTATCATCTGTAACAGAGACCAACAAAATCCGATGATGAAGCAGAAGCAATAAACAAATTCTATGATATTACGATGAGAAAAAATTCAAAAAATCTAAAAAAAATTGCAACAAAGCAAAACAATGTAAAATATAAATCGGACGCGGTAAATAAAAACAGTGCGTGTTCAAAAACATGGTTTGATAACAATTGAGTAATTTCGTAGACATACGAATGTTTCAATTAAAGAATAATTCTTTCTACCAATTGTGAAAACAAACGAATAAGTGCAATTTTATTTTAAAGGCGAAAGCATTAGTTTAGTTCAAATATTTTATATTTCAATTTGAATATTAAATCTACAGAGTTTGTCGTGTTGGATCATATATATGCAAAATTACAAATTCTTGAAAAACTCGATACAAAGGCATTCTCCTCTACTATGTGCAAAACAATGAAAACAAAATGAACGAAAAGTGTATAAAAACTCACGTCGACCTGTTGCATATGTGGCGGGGAAGGGTGCACGAGATAAGGAGCCACCCAAGGAGTGCCCGGCACACTGTAACCAGGCAATGCCTGACTGTAATGACGACTGTACTGTGTAAGAGCTGTCGTGGGAAGCATGTGAGTCGTAGCAACGCCGTTCTGACCAACGCCACTCGTGTCGTAGTTCAAAGTCATATTCTGAAAAAGAACATAAAAATAATAAAAATTGGCATTGGCACATTCTCAATTATAAAATGAACTTAAAAACTTATAAAGTTGTTTTGAAATTTGTTTCTAAGACATACAAATATTTTTTAGATATAATATAAAGGATTAGATTTGTATTTAAACCAAAATATTCTATATATCAAATATTTAATACATATCACACTTGGTGTAACATAATTTACATAACCTATCTGTGTTTACTATTTAAGAAAATAAAAATATAAGCACATTAAGTTGCCTATTAATCTAACCAATATACGTGACATTTGTAAATATTTTATAATTATAATTACGTACCTCTCCAGTCTCTCTCCATATTGTACTTTTAAACAACGATTTCTTTTTGTTTCCGCCATCAGCGAACTTAACTAATAATGGATCCTTTGCGCCTGTTAGTGCCTTTCCATTAAACATTTGTATAATTTGTTCACATTTTTCTTTGGATTCCATTCTGTAATGTAGTTGTAAAAACACCAGATTATTCGTAAGTTGTAATGTATTAACAAGAATAAATGATTTATTAAGATCGTATATGTGAATACACAATAAATGAAAATATTAAAGTGTATAACGGTCAAAGCTGAATTTTTAATACTTAAATAATTCAATGTGAATTATATACATATATATATACGTACTGTATATGTATAATACATGCATATATACCATATTGTAACCATTCGAACTGCGCGCCGAATTAATTTTCCGGACTTATAAACGCAATTAAATTACTGTAATAATATCACAAATTAAATTAAATTGACAAGCAAATTTTAATAATTTGATGCGGTATCAATCCGGTATCATATTATTAAAAAAATGTGCTGAAAAACTGTAAATAAATTTATTGCGGAAAATATTACCTTGGCCGAGAGTCGAACCCTGATCTTTTGTATTCTGTACGAGTGTCCTGAACTTTTAGACTACCGAGGCATATATAATTAACATTGAATTATTTAAGCATTAAAAATCCAGCTTCGACCATTATAGATGTTAATATTTTTACTTGTTTAGTAATGTATTATTTGAAATCAAAAGTCATAGCAAAATAATTTAAAATACGATTCACATCTCAAAAAAGACAAAAGAGGTACTATCACAGATTTCATGCGAACTTTGCGAAACGGAGGATTCTGAGGCGCCAGGTGGCTCGATGCTCGGTCCGCGGACTTAATAATCCGTGGATCCGGGTTCGATCCTATCGGCGCCTCACATACGCAGTAATTTTTCCTGCGTAATTTAAGAAACAAGAACATCGCTCCATCTAAGCTACAAGTTAAATGCTAGTACAGAAAAGATTAATTTTTCATATGGAAGGCATACTATTCGTGATTTCTATACAAAAGTGTGTCTTCTGTTCCTCGGAGAGGATATGCGCAAATTTATCGTCGCATCGTACTGTGACAGTAACTTATATATAATAAAGAAAGAAAAAGTAGAAACCTTGCGAATCCAACTCCTTTACTCTGGCCGGAAGTGTCGCGCAGAATACGGGTAGAGATAACTTGTCCGTATTGAGCGAGTAATGCCTCGACGTCGTTCTCTTTAAAGGTCAGCGGCAGGTTGGCGATGTACAGATTAGTGGGATCCTGCTCCTGTTGCTGGGAAGAGAGTAAAAATACTATGCAATTACATATAACAGGGCGACACAATGGATATAATGATTTCCAGACAATTCTGAAGCGGATTATCATTTTAACTTCCACGACTGTCGTTTCTATCGCCGCTCTCTGTGGGTTCGATCGATCAGAAATTGATGCACAGGCAAAACGAGACGATAATGCACAAATTCGAAACTGATGGAACACGTTTGGCAAAATCTGTCCAATTATTTCAATACCATTATTACATTGTACTGTTTATTACTTTCATCGTCATCATATATATCGGTAGTTATAAAAAAATATTAAGAGTAATCTGATAACAAATGAGTATGTTGCGACTGCGCAATTTTTTTGCTTAGTCTGGAACGTTAAAATGATATTCGCGAGTTTATCGAATGACGACTGAAATAATAATAACACATGGAAAAGTATTTTTTCAAATGTTATTTCTCAAAATAGCAACGAGACGTTTCTAACCGCGATAACGCGGACACGTGCGAAAAAATGAATCCAAATTCCGTACGCGTGAAAAGTATCGCTAGCCTCGTCGTAAATAGCACAACGTAAAACGTTTCTACCAACATTGACACTACGAGGAGACCATTAAGCAGTAATCGCCGTCTAAATTTCGAAGAAAGAGTGCAAAAATAGGGAACGAATGGGTACCGAATACCGGTATCGGAACGTGGAACCGACTGGACGATTATTTAGTCTCAATGTCGGAAGGTAAATCATGCTTCATGGCAATTACGTTACCACATTCTTGGTGGCTCTCTAAATTTGCTTGCTTCTAGGGATGCATACGATTCATCTCTTTCGACTAACGTACTTCTACCTCTAAAAATACGGCTTTTCGTTTTCCGCACGCAAAAGAACATGCTATGTAACGCGAGTATTAAATTATAAACCATATACATATACACATTACTGTACACGTTAAAATTCCGTAAAAAATCGAATTTTTGTCAAAAAATCGTGTCGTTTTTTTTTTCATGATTCAGGATAAAAGTCCCAAGAAGTAGACACGACAGAGATAAGAGAAAATGCACGTAAATAAAATCAGACGTAAAAGTAGTCCGAACGAGGATGTAATACAAAACGAATAAAAGGATTAAACAGGAATATATAAAGGTATCGAATGTAATAAGATACAATGTACAAATATGAAAAAAAAATACAGATTATAGGAACTCTCTACTGCGATTCTTTCTACCAAAATTCTATTAATAGATTTTCTATTTAATTCATACAAGATAACGAGACAAATACGTCACCTATGCATATACTTTGTCGCGTTTTTTTCCTCGTAAGGCAGAATTGGACAAATTTTCCCGTGTATTGTGCACGTGAGGTGAAATTTGATGCGAAATGCTTGTTTGCGCAATGATAATCGTCTCGAGTTACCGTGGCGTTTCAAAATTTCGTGACGTATGTAACCGATGCACATTATAAATTTATCACAGTGTCGTAGAAAAAAAAAATTAAAGATACGCGGCCAAATTTCTACACACCGGCATTAAAAAAGATAATAATCAAGAATGGTACCTATATAACGTACATCTATCTTCACGTTTCTAATGTTATTTACATGTGTCGAAAATCGTCCTCATCGTTTTTTTACAAATAACCATTCAAAGCGGTAATAAAGAATAGGGTCAAGTAACATGTGACATTTCATTGGAAACAGAAAGAGAGAAAGAGAGAGAAAGAGAGAAAGATATAGAGAAAGAGAAGCATGATAAAGAAAAGCACAGGCATTTTTACGTATACATATATATATACATACATATATGTATATACAATTATATATTGTATATGAGTAATGAACAAATGTGGAGAAAGAGAGCAACTCTTGAAGAGTATAGTGTCGCACAAAACACATAATATATGTGAAGTATATGGACGTACATATACATGTGTTCATGCTCCGATTTTCTGTTTATTATGAGTTTCAGGAGAGTATAAGATAAATAGAACAAAGGAAGAAAAGGAGGGAAAAGAAAAGGAAAAAAAAAAGAAATGAAGAGAATGCAGAAAAAAGTAAAAACATATGTGTCTGAAGACTGATGAGATATTATGCACCCTCAAGCATATTTCGAGATCCACCACTTTTGTCAACGAACCAATCAAAAGTATTCTACGATTACTTGAGTATATACTTATACTTTACGACAATTTACTTCAATCTTGCGAATGCATTAAAACAAAAAAACAAATAATGAAAATATCATGATAATATAAGCCAAGCTGATGGCATTTTAATATATATGTATATACATACATACATATATACATACATACATATATATATATATATATGTATATATACATACATACATATGTATACGTGCATGGATATATCCACGTGCGCATATGTATGAGGATTGCCATGGAATGAGACAGTGTCGATTATTAACAAAGCGGAGCTTATTTGTTTTTCGAGTAAATGCGTGCAAATTCCAAGTCCATCGACTTTCCATTTCCATCGACAATTTTAATCGCACCGTCTTCCATTCCGCGACATCCTGGTATATATCAGATACAGTAGGAATTTGATTATATCGAATATTATTTGAGCAAACGTTTGATAATTCGAATAATATAGAGAAAATATGCAAATGTTCGAACGGACGTTTCCTCACAAAAGCGATCGTCCATAATCATTGACCGTTTTTTCTCACATCATTCGAATGATCGAATATTGGGTTAAATGATATTCAAATAATTGAATTCTGTTGCATTATGTCTTAATTGTACTTTTTATATTCCGATAGAACAGTTTATAAATTCGTAAAAAATATCTATGCTATCGGGAACTTTTCTATAAGATTCAACAGCTTGATTTATAATTGTCATTTTCTCTCGAGTAGTTTTATTCATTTTATCTGATTCCGATTGTTTCTTTTATTCCATTATCTACGGTTCTCTGTAATCCTTTGTAATAAACATCATTTTATATTTATATGATTATTATTTGTATGATTTACATAAAATAAATCGATTCTGTGATCGATTCTTTGATCTCTTTTTTTATGTAGTACAAGTAATGTTTAATTACCAAACTTGAAGTCCCGTTTTTTCTGAATCTTAAGACTGGCTCCCGAATGCACTTCGCAACCTGTAGGTGTGTATTTGATTAAAGTGTGTAATTAACGTTTCATTATATATTTGTATATAAGAGAAGTAAGACAAGTGTACGTGTGAATCCGACCCAACCAACACCCTTCGAGGAAAGACAACGCCTATATCCGAACATAACCGCGTAACCATACGATTATAGGATTTACCGAAAAATTATACTGTTTCGCTTTTAGTTATATCATATCGCATGCGATTGACATCATTATCATTATTTTACACAGCTGCTGGTCATCACACCCCGTGCTTTTTACCACGGTCAGCTTAAAGGAACTATTCCATTGGAGTTAGTCGTACAAGGACAAATAGTACAAACAGGCGGGAGGCCGATACTCTCTCGTTCGGCAGTGTGTGCTTTTTCTTTACTTATGGTTGTCTCGAGCAGAATCTAATGTAAGAGAACGTAAGACTGAAGCGACTGTCGCAAAGCAGAGTCAGGCGAAATGCAATCGAATCTTTGATCAGCTAATAAAATTAAATCAACATAATTATCAAGTAAATAATCGCGAATCATATCATCATTATTTTTTATCAAGAAAAAGAAATAGACGATCACACCGCCGAACACTGCTATCGAGTCGACATTGACAAATTTAATTTGATATTACGGTTTGAGATAATTACTTCTTTCTTTAAACTGCTAATATTACACGGAAACATAATAAACGTTACACAATATATTGATGTTACTATGCTAGAGCTACTACTGATACGTCGCTTATGCTGCCATACTTCAATATAACATTTTTCTTTTTTTCTTTTTTCTTTCGTTTTGTTGTCAAATCATTTAGCGAGCAAAGTCAAGCTCCAAGGGCGGTATTCATAGATGGAGATAATCTCATAAAATATTTTTTGTCTCTAATAGCAAACATATTTATAACTATACAGATTTAAACTTATAAATCCCTTAGCTGAGTTAAATTTCATAAATTATTTAAATAATCGTAATTATTAACTGAGCCACTCAGTCTCTTGTTTATTATATATTAATTACCGATTCAGTAAATAAGCTTCAAGTAAGTAATTAATTGGATTGCTTTGACATCTGCCAAACTATAATACAATTATAAATGCTATTTTTCATAATATATCAATATTGATTATACGTTACAAAAAAAAACAGATATCGATATAATAAGAAAAAAATGTTACATTAAATATATTATTCTATATAATTTATGGTTGAATCATTTATCAATTATTTGACGATATAATTTATATCATTTATCTATAAATCGAAGAATATTTAAAGCCTATAAGCTTTTAAAAAATGAAAAAAAAAATGCATATTAGATAATTAGAAATTTATGAATCTCACAATCCTATATTAAATAATGACTATGAATACGACCTTACATGGATATCGACAGGTTATTGAATTTCCTTTAAGAGATTCGAAATTAATGCTGAAATTCGCAGAATGCAATTCTCATGACATGACGATTGTAGACATAATGTCGACATAGCATAGTATCGGCTGTATTTGTGGCCGAGGTATAGCAGCAAGCATCGATAAAGGTCTGGTAGGTAAGGTACGTAAGACAGAATAACAGACAAAGTATCAGAGAAAATTTCTAGATAAATGAAAAAGGCAGAGAGAAACAGAGACAGATTTTCGATGGAAAAAATATTATAGTCCCCGACATATAGAAAAATACACGCACAGAAAAATATTTATTGAAAATATATGCTTGTCGTTATAGAAAATATAAATTTTCTACCAAATTGTACGTATTAAATGTGTAATGATTTATGATTGTTTTTTATAACTTCTATTGGATACTTTGAATTATCTAAAATTACATATTCTCGCAAATTTTAATTTTATTAAATTTGAACGGAAATAAATGAAATCGTAAAATAATCGATGAAAAAAACATTTCATTTACATATTTTTCATTTATAGATAAGATATTTTTTCATTTATAATAAATCTTGTAGAATATATATGACATAGTAAAAACTGAATAAAATTTATTAATATAAATGCGCAAAGCAATACCTTGCCGTGCACGAAAACTTAACTTTAAAAATTACTCTTTAATAAACAAGAGTTTATTAAAATAGTAATATAAAGTAATCTAAAATTTAAAAATGATATATATATATATGTAAATTGCAATTGATAGAAATACGCTAATATTTAAATAACAAATAATTTGTTTCGAACACTACAAGCACTAGAAGAGAAATCGATGTCGAAAAAGCGTCTTGTTTCATATCCGAATATACCCGTGAGATCTATCTTAATCGATTCTCCGACGAAATGGCTTCACAAATAAAACGGGGCGACGAAAAGATGAACGAAGAAACAGATGGACAATATAACAGAATGACAGAACAGAATAAAAAATGATACAGACAATAGAAAGAGAGAAAAAGGAAGAGAAGAGTGAAAGAGAGAAAGAAAGAAAGACAGAGAGAGAGAGAGAGAGACAGAGAGAGAGAGAGAGAGAGACAGAGAGAGAAAGAAAGAAAGAAAGAGAGAGAGAGAGAGAGAGAGAGAGAGAAAGAGAGGTTTACTGTTACTTTGGTATTACTCTGTACTTGCATGCACAACCACGTACACTGTCCAGTCTACGGAGCAACCAGATACCCACTTTCGCCATCTGCGCTTGGATGCCCTTGGCGACCAGTGCTTTCACAGCACCCTCTGCCGCCATCGGTGATTCGAAGTCTACAAATCCGTAACCTACAACACAATCATGACGGTGTAAACTCCTGCTGACAATTTTATCATGCATAAGAAATCGTAAAAGAGAATATTTTGTCTATCACATGTATTTATTATGATTTGAATAGAAATTCTCTATAAAAGTTCGCATAACTCTCATTGAAAGGTTATAAGATAAACATTTTGAAATATATATATATATATATATATATATAAATCCAAGAAATTAAAAAATATTGAGGGCGTGCATTAATTACCTTTACATTTGTTTGTATTTTTGTCTAAAATCGCCTTGGTGGAAGTTATAGTTCCGTACCTGCAAAAATATTGAGTTTTGGTCTGACGTATTTGCATTAATTTATACTTATAACTATGCAATTTCAAAAAATAATAAATTATTGATACGACTACTATAAACTAATATAATTGTCAAAAAGCAATAGTTGTATATACGATTTCAATTTCTATCTATAAGTATATTATGATAAATAACATTAATTTACATTTGGGATACTAGATAGCTCCCAACTGGCAGTGCCAGAACAATCATTTATCAATCAGATTCGGGTTTAATTCCCAAAATTGCTATCTGGTATATATGACATAAAGAACTTGGAATAACAAATTTTGACTCGTACAGTATACGACATAAATGTTAAAAGAAATTCATAATATTTATGTATTTCGTCATGATATACAAATATCTACTGTACGATCACGTGTATAACGTTACTTACTGAGAACACATGTTAACGAGGTCTTTGTCAGTCGTATTCTGGTTGAGGCCACGGATGTATAGATTCGTTTTAGACAGCTGCTCTGCTTGTTGACCCTGCATGGCATTGTTGCTGAGATTCGTGCTCATAGTCCCGCTTTGACTGCCAGTGGCACTACTGGAGCTGCTGTTAGTGTTTGCTGGAGATGAAGCTGTAGGCACCCGCTGTCCACCGTACTGTAAGCATCATCAATACTGTGTGATAACTGATGATGACTGATGTTCGAAAAGAGTCAAGAACAATTGACTTTACAAAGCCTATCGTTTTTATCGAATCGACTATCAGTTGATACAACATGTATTATCTTAAACTTGTGTTACTAAAGGCATATAAAAACTTCAGTAGCAAGATATAAAGAGAAAGAAAATCAACATTTTGAATTCACTACTACTTACGTTATTATTATCTTACATTTTCTATTGTATGATTAACCAATTCGCTTATTGCTTATGTCTTATTGCATTACGTTTTTCTGTATGCCAAGGATTATAGTCTTTACACGAATTTCTTTACACGAAGCATAAAAATTCCGCTATAAATCATATTATCATAATATAATCAATGATTTGCGTGCAATAAAAATATGAAATTAGTACTCTATAATCTTGGAAATTACTATTATTTTCATATTTAAGTAATAGGATTCATTTTCAAATGAATTTTGATAAGCAAGAATTATATACTGAAAATAAAAGCGCTATTTTTTTTATGTAAAAACGATTCCAAAGAAGTTACATAAATTTGTAAATGACATATTTCCTTCCTCAGTCCTTGTTTACAACAGTAAATTTGTAAATATCGCAGAGCATTAAACGTTTATCAAAGTGACCTACGTCTCGTTCCAGTTTTTGCGACTTTCCACTTGTCGCGTGACGGTCTTGGGTTTATTGTCATGGACAAAGTCAACGGAGAGATTGGAAAATACAGTAAATGCGACTTACCGTCGCGTGCTGCGCGTATGTGGCGGTGACGAAGGGATTAACGGATGCCGGTAGCTGCTGGGGACCACCACCGACCGCGGCGGCCGCC